ACCATATATGCTCGCGATGCCGCTTTGAACTACTACCAATCATTGCGGAATTACATAGCATCTCTCGTGATGAATCACGACGCAAGATTCGGAGGTCTTGTATACGATACACTTGACCTCCACTACACGATATCGACCGTAAATAACAATCGATCACCCGAGCATCCGTGGCTTGATTACAACCAACTGTTACGCGTCGAACGGGCTTGATAGTTGGTATCTTCATGGTTGCCAATTTGGTAATCTGACCATGAACGCGGGTTGGGCCGTAGGGGGAAGCTAGTCAGTACAACAGACGAGCTGCATTTATTCTCCCAAGCTCCATCCACTCATGGTCATCGCATTGCATAATGGCGGGGGTACTTTTTACGGTCATGGGCTGGGAGGTTCTTTGATATTTTCCTGGTTAATCTATTCATATTTCCTACTTTTTTTTCCGTCACTACAATCCCCCGCTACAGTTTCATGTCATCCATCTTGTTTCGTGGGAAAGGTGGGAACATAGGAAGCAACGCACTTGTCAGTCAGTCAGTCAGTCAGTCAGTCAGCATTTGGAGGAGTTCGAACTCTGTTTCTGCCACTGTTCCTGAGTAATTACTTTTCGCCATCGTTCAGGCCTGGGTTACACTATTTGGATCGAAGGGGATTTTATTATTCGATCAGGGGCGGTTAGACCACTTGCTCATTGATTGAGTTTGGGTGTGGCTGTCTGTCTCATTGTTTTCCTCTTATCAAGTATTGTTATTGTTATTTTGTTTTTCTCCAATGGGAATACTCGTCTTTTTTTTCAAGGAGGGTCAAATTTGCATCATCAGGGATACCGGGATATTTTTATGTATCGAGCGCTTGGGTACTCCCTTTTTTGGTTTACCTACTCCGCCGACGAGCGCGGAGTGAAGTCCTCGCTATCTATCTATCATCTATGTTTACACTCTGAAGTTGTTAGGCGGGGTTGCGCGCGGAAGGCAAAGCATCAAAGCGCAACAGGGTAATACAAATCAATACTCTTTTGGAATCAGCTCCTCTGACCTGAGTGACCTGGGAATTGGTATCTCTAGATTGACCGAAAAGATACGTATTTACAAGCAGTCCTAGCCGAGTATCGGCACCAAGATGGATCTACTCTAGACCGGGCTGGTGTAGCCGAACATCTCCTTTTCCCTGCAGGTATCGCGCACATCCCTTGCTTGGGGAGGCGACGGTCATTATCAAACATCACATGGGATTTTATGAGCCTCACTTCGCGAACCCTGGACACGGCAAATTCCATGCATACCCAAGATATGGCTGTTGTGACCCAATATCTCACATACCTCATTACGGAATGCCAATCACATCCAAGCAGCGTGAACATGTCAATCCTACTTACCAACCAAGGATCTACCGTAGGGAATAACTGTTTCCTTTACGTACATCCCACATTGAAATATCATCTTACTCAGCTAACATACATATGGATAGATCGGTCCAGACCGAATCCCCATGCTTTGGTATACACGCACGCGCCCCTATGCACATGTACGTATGTATGTATGTGTGTACATATGTCATATGTATGTATCATGTAGGTGTATCATTTTGTGCATGTGGCACGAAGAACAAGCAGGCAGGCAGGTATGGATGTTGGGGTTATGGGAAGGGAAAAGGGATGATGTCGTATTCAGTTCACGCATGTCATATGTAGGTACATACACTGCCCCAACTTCCTGTCTCCTCCCTCCTAGGTACAACCTCGCAACGGGGCTTGCCTCACGTTCCAGAGGCTCGGGAACCCACGGGACGGGAACAGCAAAAAAAGAAAATCAACTGCAATAATACGGATCGTGTTATACATACATACATACATTCAGGTGGGAGGGAGGTAACGTAGGTAGGTAGGCAGGTGAGATAAGTCAGGTAAGCAGGCAGGCCGTCGGCCGAAAAACGAAACGACACGACACGCAATGCAACAGACTCCCACGAGACTGGGGGAACCAACCACACACACACGCGCGCGCGCGCCCTCGCTCGCAGAACTGTGCCTACACCACATACGATGCTACGCAACCTAACCACTTACATACCTACATATGCAGAACTTCATATCCCGCAGATCTGACTCAGCCCTACAGTACCAATAAGAGGGATTTTTCGTGTGGGGATTTTGTTTTTGCTTCAAATTTTTTTTTTCTTCGCTTTCTTCTTTTCCAGACGGACCACCTATATGCAGTATCTAACATACCCCATGTCGTGTAATATCAGACATCTTATTACCGCCTTAGGTAGGTGTTTTGGAAGCCGTACAGTTTAACTCGATCTAGGTAGTTGAACACACACACAGAGAGAGAGAGAGAGAGAGAGAGAGGGATAGACAAAAGTGAATAACGGGAGGCATTTCCCCTTTTGGGATTCTTGCCTTAATACCAAAACCTAGACGATGGATGTCCTTCAAACCCGAGCCTTGCAGATGGTGGTGATAATAGAGTACCCTAACCTAACGGGATTAGAGGTAATTATATATTACCTAGCTTCAGCTACGGCGATGTTCCCGAGTCCGACGTGATGGATTGGTATCCTTGTTATGTAAATCGCTCTGATATGTATGTGTGTTTACTACGATTACGTAGTGCGCGTGGGCGTGGTGTTTCGAATTTATAGGGTTTCACTGGCCGATCGACGATTAAGGATGAGAGGATACTAGATATTACCTACCTAGGGATCTATGAAGAGCAAGAGAAGCCCGGTCGATTATCATATTCTCCGTATCCGACGGCGAGCGAGGAGATGTGATATTATCAACATCCATCCTCATCTTCCAGATCCCCTCGCTAAAAACCAACCCACTTACCTAGGTCCATACCTTGTACGCAGCCCCATCAACATACATACAGTACCTAGGTAGGTAGCAACCGAATCATCTTAGCCCGATCTAATTATCTACAACTCGGTTCCGGTTCTTTTGAGCTACGGTGGAGTAACTTCGGTTCGACAACACCACGTGGGATTGCTTCGTTCTGGTTGGGTACCAAGGTACGATGGGTGCCCGAGCATGTGGTTTCACCGCCTCTTCCCTTTTCCCGTCATTTCGAAGCGACTTGGGGGCCGTAGCCGGACAGACAGTAACTAAAATAATACATAGGTATATATTATGATGTCTATTCTTGAGCCTGTTTTCGGCTTGTCCGTTACTTCGTCAAGCCTTCTTCCCTTCGCAGGTTCTGCTGCAACACAGATATGGACTAGGGAATCATCAGTTGGTTGGTTGCTTTGATTAAGATACCCCTTATGAGCCGGGCCCCCAAGCCAAAGAACAACAAATCAAATCGCGAGATGAAGATGCAGTCCATTCAGGCGGGATCTCGTGGTGGAATCCTCCGGTTGAATAGTGCCGAAGCGAGATAGGTATGTGAAATATGATGATGAAACGGTGCTTTCTGAGGCGATGGACGTGCGTCTCGGCTTTGGGTTGAGTTGGGTTGGATCGGGGCCCGATGGTTGACCGTCTCGTGGACTCGATCCGATCTAGCTCCCTGGACTCCTGTCCTGACATCTCGGTTAATCCTGATGGCATTCAGCGCGGGTGTTATAATTACCCCCTCTATGTGCGAAGCATATACTTATTCCATTCCTGCCTATGCAGACAGTGATGCATTGCATCATTTTACCTATTATGACCACCCAGGTATTATCAAGTAGTTCAATATACCTACCTAGGTGCCGAACCTATGATGTATCCATAAATTTGGTATATTCAAAAACAAACAGAGACATATGTAAGGTATCGAACTAGAGCGAAGAGCGGCGTGATGCCAATGTAATGACTTCCAGGGAACAAGCACTCCAGCGTTGACAGGTTTTGGATGTTGTCTCAGTACCAACTAGCAGCAATCATATCCCTTGAGTCGACCTGTCGTTCAGGCTGTCATGCTTGATGCAGCCGCTTGCCCTTTGCTGTTCTCATTGGCAACAACCCTCATGCATAATATGCTGCAACTAAAAGCAGCGTTGTCGTGCCTGCCGTGGTATATTACCTATCAAATATCATAATGTGCCTACCTACCGACTTATATTAAACATGTAACCTTTTGAGCTTCGTCTTTGTCGCCAACACGAGCCTATGAACTTGGTACCCGGAACGTCGTATTGTGATTTAATAGCAGAATAAGGGAAACTAGTTTGACAAATCACAGTGACAGGCAGCATAATGATAAGTAACAAATCATATAGTATTCATATTTATGATACAATGTAGGTAGGCAGTCCTTTCGTTTCAGTAGTTTTAGCAGGAGACTAACAGTTGTTTCCTTGACTTGTAGGTACTTTCACATGGGAAACAGGCTTGGCTTCTCTAAATGTTCTTTGAATAGAAGTAGTAGATATATATTGGCTATGTAGATGAAGGTATCATCGAATCCAATAGGAGAGATGGATACTTAGGAAATCAAGGACTAGGTTTCCCAGGACACAGGCTCCCAAGTCCATGCTACGACTTAACGATGTTGAAACCCTTAGTTTACATACTATCACAACACTGGTAACTCTTGGGGGTATATGCATTGTTCTTATTATCCTCGACGTATATTATGTTTGTGTACTCAAGTACCTACTTGCATACTTAGAGGGCTACATCCTTAGGTTTGATGGTATGATGCCCTCTAACGGGTTTCTTACATATTAGAAGATGCTAGAAGGTTTCAACTACGCCCGGTAGCGTCGAACACCGACTCTATATAGCTCTGTAAGCTGCCATAGCTACACTACGAGATAGTAAAATCCTCCTCGTTCTGTAAACACTTGAGCAACAAGCAATCTCAAGCATACTCCGTATCCACAGCATATAGTAACTAGTAAACGGTAACATCAATTTCAGCAATATAAAAGTCATGTATAAAAAGTTCATTGTCTAGGTGCTGTAACGAACATGACATAAACCTCTAACTTCATCCGAGCGCAACACCACACGGAAGACAAGCAACCACAAAACCTTACCTTAACAAAGATTCGCAAAAATTAAACCTCAGCGACGCAGGCCCGATTCGAACGGGCGCTCCCGAAGGAACAAGATAGCAAATTTCCCTAGAAGATGGTTTTTAGCCACCTAGTAGTAGTCTAGGTTAATTCGAGTCTTGCGCGTTAGACCACTCCGCCACTGCGCCTTGGTTCTTGTTCGCTTCGTTCTGGATTATATATTGTACGCTAATCACAAACCATATAACGAAAGCTGGCGTTGGTATGAAAACACGCCAACCTGTTTCCAAACTCTAAGCTAGTTTTGCAGTTCTCTGCAGTTATTCGGAGGTAGAAGCATCATCATCATCACCGTTGCTGCCATGGGATGCCAACATGTTTGACTGTGTCCCCATCAGTCTTTTTATCGCTTGCCATAGTCGTTCAGTAGACCTGGTATTACGAGCGATACTTGGTATATTCATCAAAAATCTCTAAAGATCTGCATGAAGCGACGTTCTCGAATGTCGTCGTTTTCCATGTCCTTAACGCCTAAATAACTACGAAAATGCAACAGGTCCTCACCCAGATTCAGGCATCATGAGTTTCCCCGATGATCAACGTGATCAGGTCCGTTATGACTCCATAGCATCACCCGTCTTCGCGTCTTCATCACCCCACAAGCCCTCCAGCTTGAACTCCTTAGCCCACTCCGTGACGATCTCCTTCTGATCCGGCATGATGACAGGCGCGCTCGCATCGCCCGACTTGACCTCACTTATCTTATTCGTGATCTCAGTAGCGACAGGCAAAACCGGCGCGTCAACCCATCCCTGGATACGTCCATCTCGCCAATCCGTGATAACCGTCATACCCGCCGCGGTCAAGTTGGGCACACCTCCGCGTCCGAGTCTGCCTCGCTTGCGAGCTACCTGGACCAGGAAGTCCGTTGTAGGGTCACCGTTCGATGTTATCAACGGCGGGAGGTCGTAGACATCCATCAGCTTCTGGAGCAGTTCAGGGGAGGCAGATAATCGCTTCAACAATAAAGTGACGGCAGGGATCGGATCATCGATTTGCTTGGGCGGGATGGCATTGAGCAGGACGAGGTGAGCATGGGCCTCAACCGCGTTCTTCTTCGACGCCGACTCGCTGTTAGGCGCCGACGGGAAGACGATACCGGGGGAATCCAGCAGAGTGAGTTTGCTGTCGATCTTGACGGCGCGGATGCTTGTCGTGACACCCGCCTCGGCGCCTGCGGGACACGCGGCTGCGCTTCGGCCACCTAGTCGTGCAAGAAGTGCGTTGATAACGGAGGACTTTCCGACGTTGGGGTATCCAATGACGCCGACTGATATCGCTCGCTTGAGCTGCTTGGTAGCGGCAAAAGACTTCAGGGACTTGAAGAGGGTGGATGACGTGCTCTGGACGGTAAGATCTCGGTGGTTGAAAGTCTGCGCATTGGGAGCGGATCCAGAGGCGCGTAGGGGAAGCGTAGGGAAGTATCTTCGTAGATACGTGAGCCAGTCTTTGAGAACGTTGGACGGAATCAAGTCAATCTTGTTAAGAACAAGCATCAACCTCTTTCCGCCGCTGGCCGCAGCCATCACCATTCGCTCGACTTCTCTCGATCTCGTTCCTTCGGGATCTCTGGCGTCTAGAACGTATAGTACGACGTCAGCCTGATCGACAACTTGCTTGAAGACCTTATCGTGGGCTTTTCGCGACGAATCCTGAATGTGCATCTCTGTTCCGTCATCCTCATCGTCTGATGACTCGTCTTCTTCCATATCGTCTCCGCTTTGCAATCCGCGATCATATTGCTCGGCGGCAGCTCTTGCGCTCGCGATTAGCGCCGCCATGGGGTTTGTGCTGTCGTCCACATCATCCTCATCCATCGCATCGTCTGAAACTCCATCGAATTCCTCTGCCTCTTCTTCGCCGTCTACAGCTTCATCGTTCTCTTCCGTTGCGCCTGTCTTTGCGGCCTTGGCCAACTCTCTCCGTCGTTGCAGCTCTTCTTGCTTTCTTCGCTTTCCCTCCTCAATCTCATGTAGAATCTTCTCTTTGTAAGGGAAAAGGTTCGGAATACCCGGGTCCTTCTTCAGCTTAGACTTCCATTGGGGATTCTTCTTGGATTCCTTTCTAGCTTTGCGCTGCTTGGCGACTGAGGCCTTCTCGATCTTGTGTCGCAGACGCACGGGAGTTCGCTTCGACTTTGCCTCTGAATTATAAGTTAGTTAATTCCATTAATTTGGTCAAGTTAGACACGAATTAATTGCACATACTCTTCGGCTTTGTGATGTGGTTGGCCATCTTCAATTGCTGTGCCTGGCAATTATTATGTTGGAATTGTACGGAAATTCAACGTTATCGATCGGAAGCGCAGCACAAGAAAGTTTAGAAATTTTGGTGGAAAAAGTCGTTTTGCCATTTATCACCGCCAAATAAGTGACCCCACTAGGAAAGCCGACTGGCTCATCCTGACGGTACCCCGCTTACTGATAAGAGCCCGCTGAAAGTGCCCTGAAGATCGGTTTCTTTTAGTGGTTTTTTAGGCCTCACGATGGCTTCAATTCCGTCCAGTGACTAAAATGCCGTGCTGACCTTAGCTAAGAGGCGGAGTTTCCTAAACGGGCCTGGCGGTGATTCCATCAACTTTAACATATAAGTCACTGGTTAAGACCCTCTCAACTTCGAATTGTCTACACATAAAAAGCAGGATATTATTATAATTTATAAAAACAGTTCATCATCCTACTGTTGCCTATATACCTAATTGCCTCATCTACTCTTCAAAACCACTCAAATATCTAACATTGTATGAGAACAAATAACCTCACGATGGACTACACAGCACCTCCGTTCGAGGTCACCTTCAAGGGACTCCTTTTCGACATGGACGGAACAATCATCGACTCCACAGCCGCAGTCGTCAAACATTGGCACACGTGAGTCTTACTCTCCCCTTGACGCCATCCGCAGCTCGTTCCTGAACCAGGGGTATAGCGTCGGCAAAGAAATCGGCGTTGACCCGGAGGTCATTCTGCAGACGTCTCACGGCCGGCGAAGCATAGACATGCTGAAGGTCCTCAGTCCGGAGAAGGCAAACTGGGAATGTAAGTCCAAACTATACAAGTCTGAAGGGAGCTGTCACCGTCGCCCTTGTTGTAACAGCCGGATTCATATTGCAGAAAGACTTCTTCCCTTTACCTCTATCCCCTGACGATCTCGATCCTGTTCCTGTTCTTCGCCCCTGGCTGCGCGGCCCTACTTTACACGCCACTCCCTCACTATGTTTCACTCCGCTACAATGCTTACATTCACACCCTCTCTCTATCTCATAACCCCTTGATATTCCTTTGTCTAAGGGCAGCTGTAGTTAACTCTCGCAACCAGATGTAAGACACATGGAGGGCCTTCTCCCTAAGCTCCACGGTGGCGACGCCGTCGAAATTCCCGGCGCTAGAGCCCTCCTTGACACACTGATCGCGAACAACGCGCGATGGACCATCGTCACATCGGGCACCGAGCCTCTCGTAGGAGGCTGGCTTGAGGTGCTGAAGCTGCCACACCCCGAGCACTTGGTCACAGCCGAATCCGTCGCCAACGGGAAGCCCGACCCGGCCTGCTATAACCTCGGACGAGAGAAACTCGGCCTGAACTCGTCCGACAGCCCAGAGATTCTCGTTTTAGAGGATAGTCCCGCGGGCATCCAGGCAGGCAAGGCGGCCGGATGCAAAGTCCTAGGTCTCGTCACGAGCCATACGGCAGAGCAGGTGCTGGCCGCCGAGCCCGACTGGATCGTGCGGGATCTGCGCTCCGTGAAGCTGGTCCGGAGCAGCGAGGACGGTTCCGCGACGCTGCAGATCTCGGACGCCCTTGTTCCTCCTCCTCCTCCCCCTCCCTCTTCCAATGGAGCTACTGAGGCATGAAGAATCGATAAAAGTCCAACCAAGTCTTAGACCGCAAAAAGAAGAGAGGCTGGATGAACTAAGCCAAGAGAAAAAAAAACTTGTGCCTTCCTTAGGATCCATCCTCAACAAGAGGTAACCCAGGTGACCGACCGACCAGAACGTACCATCAAAGTCACAGCCAGCACAGAGCGCGCGCGCGCCAAGACATGTCATTCAACTAGCCTACCTAACCTAACCTACCAAGGTACCCTTACAGTGTTTTTGACGAGGAAGTGTCAAATTGGGGGATGGTCTACATGGTCTACCCTAATCTCTGGTACGATCTCGGCATATTCCATTATTCACATATAGCCCTGTCGTTCGGCATATAGACTGGGATCTCGGGCTTCACCCAAGGGGAAAAAAAATAAAAAAATAAAAATAAAAATAAAAATACATACCCTTATTTTAGAGCGGGTCGGAACGGGACGAACTTCGTAATTTGATAGATGGGGGGAAATGTACATAGACCAGGTACACACATACACATTCATATATACATCACATACATACATCATCATAGACAAGCTATATTACCGGAGATTCAACTTTCCATCGCAAGAGATTTCGACGGGGATCTGATTATACGAACCGCCTCTCAATTCTAGCTTCCTAACTGGCCGGTGGCTTAAGATTTGTGACTCGGCGGTAGAATTGGCAATTTGCGAGGAGTCATATCAGATCATGCACGAAGGAAAAAGCCACAGACAAGCAACGGCGGGAAGAAAAGAAAAAAAAAGCCTGATAGGTACGTTACCTGCCGCTGCAAGGCTGGTACTAGATAGATGCCGAGGAGTAGTGTAGGAAGTCTAGTATAGTGGTAGGAGGTAGGTAGTGGTGGCGCGTCTGCAATACCTAAGGAATAAACCAGGCGCCCCCAATGCCCCCCCCCCCCCCTTGTCTTGGCGCGGTGGATTTGCGTTAATGACGATCACCAGAACTATCGGAACTTCGCAGCTCTGCTCTGTCCAGTAGGTCCCCGCTCAACCCTTCAAACTCCACAACTTGCTTCAGCAGGTACCTGCTTTGTACATACATACCTATTAACACATCCATCTTAATCTGCATATGTCATTAGACATCTTCTTCGGTTCAAAAAGTTGCAAAGGCACACTGATACTTACGTAGGAGGAGGAGGACGGGGCAGAAGAAGGAAGAAGGAGGCTGCACTGCACGACACACACACAAAAAACAACACGAACGGGCCAGCCAACAAACAAACGAACCAACGAACGGTCGATCCATCCGGAAGG